AGAACGAAGTGACTTGAAGACATGTTTTGGAGAAAAAGACAAGACAATAAATTCAGCCGTTTGAAGTGGTATGTACAGTTCAGTCATGTCAATTCAATAAAAAGACATCAGTTAACATAAGAATTCTACTTCCCACACTTCACATCCTTTCTTCATTTTTAATAATAAGTTTATAAGTACTTGCTATAATGGTGAATTCATCAAATTTATAACTGAAATGCATAAGATTGTGTAAAGTTTGTGAAAATAACAATACTTAATAAGTAACATGCTCTAAGCAGAAAAAGGTAGATATACTAAAATCTTATATTTCATTGGAAAAATTTAAGTCACAAAAAAGCATAAAAGGTAAATTTAATTGTCAAAAAATTACAGAAAAGGATACATCACAAAAGAATTCGGAAAGATACAAAATTAATGAAAATTTATTGCATGAAAAGTAAAGGATAGTATTTAATAAACATAACATTATGCTTCCATACAACAGTAAATTTTGATTGCATTGGAAGATCGGGAATATCTAGAGGCCATTCCATTGAACTTTATTGTGACATAGAGAACAATAACACCTGCATATAGGAAAAGAAAGAGATACATATGGTAGAATAATACACACATTAAATTAAGAATAATAGACTAAACAAATAACTCGAAAAGCTTGAACCGAATGATAAGAAAACATAATTTGTTAAAACATATAAAAAACAACCTAACAATCAACACACCAACAATATCCAAGCTCAACGTAATATAGAAAAATCACAAATGCTAAGGTAATAAATTAATAATACAAAGTTTATAAGTCTATATTTAATAATTAACACAACCACGGGATCATCAAACTGATACAACTCTCTCCATCAATGCACTTCAGAGAGGAGCAAGCTCCTCGAACTTTGGGTCCCAGAACACCCTTGTGCCACCACAAAAATTTGTGAGGAAAGGTCTCCCTGCTCAATATACAAAATATATAACTGTTGAATCATTAAAGATTTACCATCTTCCTGAGAAACCAATGCATACTGAATGACTAAAATAAGAGTGCCAGGTCCCTTCTTTAACTGGTACGTGTTCCATGAAGCTTTCGCAGCATCACCATATAGGATACACTCAATAGTGTTTCCCCTGTAAAAACAGAAGTGTCAACAAATTTAAACACGTTATTATTGGCAATCACCAAGAATAGTGTTTTCTGATATGCATGAAAAATAATGACAACACATGAACACATAACTGGCTATCTGCAACAATGAGAGTGAGCTTTCTAGTAATGAAGCCATCCAGAATGAGCCACTCGTACATTACATCCCCTTGTAGAAAACCCAGGACATATGAGAAGATGAAGAATATGCATGTAAGATTAAGTGATCATTTTTTATATAAATTACTGAGGGGACCAGACAAGAAAAAAGGACCTCTAACACGAACATCAGGCTACCATTCTCGTCAGACCAGGAAGACAGATCTTATCTTGAATAGATAGTTCACCATACGACATGGATTGTCATGAATACTAGCATTTTCCTCTAACTAGATATGAAACCTTGTGTGGATAGCCATACCACCTTCAACAACCTTAAACCTGTGTATAAAGTAAGACCTCTTCTCAACTAGACGGTTCGCGCAACATTCGATAAGTTCCGCACGGGATATTGAAATTATCATGCAATAACACTGAAAGGGGAGTACGAAAAAACAAAAGTAAAATACAACAATAAGTTATTACGCAAAATTTGTTTCAACAATACATGTTGACCCAGTTCACTCACAGCTATGTCAAAAACAATCATCTCAATAGATGTGATTTTCTGAGGCCAACCGCATGCACAATCATGAACATCTATGCCAGTTCTTGGATAAACTCTATCAACCCTCACAAGGATGCCTGATTCAGGGTTGGATGGCTCTAGAGAATCAAGCATTTCAACGTTCGGTAGCATCATGGCGTTCATTTGGAAAGGATGCATGATAACGTGTAGAGTACTGGGTAACAAAAGACAAATCAGATTACAGGAGATGGAGATTCAAAATAGAATACAAACAGAAATGGTAACAAAACCCTTGAAGTATATAATAAATAGGCAAGTTAGAAGACAAACCAGCGTACAATGCACAAGGCGAAGAATGAAGTTGATGTCAAAATGGCGGCACATGTTGAAAGTTCTATTTAAACAGATGAGGGAAGCGAGTGCATTAGATGAAAGGGTGACATATCGCTTGAAACACCGCATGGAGCCCAATAGGGAGCCATGTTCTAAATAAGCCATGATACATAAAACGGCTCTATGAACAGTGTTTTGAGTCAAGAGCCACAAAAAACCTCATCGGCTTAGTGGAATTGCTATATAGGATATATTGATGGGACTTGTTAGTCCTTATCTATGATTAAATTCCCTTGAGAGGAGAGGGGACTGGATGTGATTCTTCCTTTGTAATTCATTCCAACTTAAAACTGAGTTTTTTTTTAAAGAATAATAAAAAGTCCTAAAAGGATCAATTAATTCAAGGTTCCAAGTGTCAAATTTGACAAATTTACATTCAATTTTTTAATTTTATAATTTCATTGTGATAAATTTATAATTTGTAATTCAAATTTCAACAAAAAAAAAATAAATTTTTTTTATTCTTCAATTATATGCAAATTTAAAAAATAAGTTATAAATTCATTACAATGTAAATGTTAAATTGAGAGATTGAGTTGTAAATTTTTAAAATTTTAAAACATAACTTGAATTAATTGGTCTCTTTGTGACCTCTTTATCATTCTCTCTTCTTTTTTGTGGGGGAGGGATTGGGAAGGGCAATCACAACATGAGGCAACTAGATGTTGCTTGTAAATTTGTGTGCGAAGTCAATTCGGTCAAAAATAATAAATATGTATCGGTCACAATTTGTAAATATATCTATAAGTTCTTTTTAATTAAAAATGAAAGAATGCTATTGAGCTTCAATGTCGCTGAAAGAGGTGGGGGATGAAGGTGGTCGTCGATGCTATTGAGGTAATATTGTTAGATCTTGAAGATGGGGTGGAGATGAAAGTGGTCTTCAATGCTTTTAAGCCAATGTGATTTGAAGTTAAAGGTTTTTTTTTTTTTTTGTAATCATGATTATTATAAGTTTCAAAGGTCAACCAAACACATAATTATATGGTAACAAGATCTTGACTATTCCTTTCCAATCACTATATAAGGAACCTTTAAAAGTCATATTTGTCCAAAATATAGGGCATTTGATGATTTTTATAATTTTTTTTCAATTATAACCCTACTTCATTATTACTCTTTTTGAAAAAATGATTTGTCTTAATTTTAATTATCATTATTATTAAAGCACTTATATAAGGTATTTAATGGAGGTAAATTAGGAAAGATGTAAAAAAAAATTAAGATTTCAACTAACACTATTCATAAACCGTAAATTAGTTACTAATGTCCTATATTTTTGTCTGGAAGAAGTTTTATTGATTTCCATTACAAGGTTGCCACCAAATTGAACTAAACAGGCTATATTTATTTTTAAGAAAACATAACTTTAAATCCCTTCATTTTACTTGCGTTTTTCTATTAGTTCCCACACTTTTTTTTTAATATTTTAGGTCTCTCTATAAATAAAGTATAAGAATCTTGGAGGGACTTAAAATATAAAAAAAAAATGCAAGAACTAATAATAAAATATAAAGACTAAAAGCTAAGTTTTTTATTTATCCTTTGATAAAATGACAAATGCTTCTTTTTAGTTTTGCTTTGGGCTTGATTTTCTTAAAAACTTTTTGGGCTAAGGATTTATTCGTGGTCATAATGTATGGCTATTTATTTTGGATCATGATTTTGAACTCAATAGCCACCCTCTAATATTCAATACTAATCCTCATCTCTTTTTTCTACAGAATTCGACACATAGCCAATGAGGATTGAATTTAGTAGAATGTGCTATTTTTTCATAATGTCATAAACCAATTTAAATTTTTATTGAAAGAAGTGTTCACATCTAATATTTAACTGTACTTCAAATATAATTATATTTAATAAAAGAATACTTAAATGAATAACAAAAAAAAAAGAAGAATTCGAGCCCATATTCATTGACTAATTACATGTTTGCTTCTTTTTCTTTTTCCCTTCTTTAATTCTCTGGACAAAATTACAATGCGTGAACACTCCTCGCAAGTCACAAAGATGAAGTTTGAATGGAACATTTCATCCTCGTATAAAATCCCGTGTCCCACGCACATTCACTCATACCCAAGTCAATATTCCCTTCAAAGCATCAAATCTGAACCCTCCATTTTGGACCCTTTCTTTTCAATGTAAAGCTACATTCCAATTCATTGTAATCTTTAGTAGACGTCATTAAACTAAAGTCAAATAACAAAACTTGGGAAGTTGTCAAGTGAAAAGAAAGACTATACTCTTTTAATCCTATTTATAAAGTAAAAATAAAAAAATTGATCTTATTTATATAACATTTGTCAATATTACTAATGAAATTTAAGAACATTTATTTGAGATAAAGGTTAAAGCTTATTAAATTTTAAAATAAAGTTAATAAAATTTAAAGTTTTTCTTGATTTTAATAAAATATGTTAAAAGTAACTTATAAATAGGACCAAAGAGAATATATCTTGACCGAAATTAAATTTGATGGTTTATATTTAATAGTCACTGTTATTACTTATTAGAAGTTAGTCTCTCCTCTATTATCCAAAAAAAAAAAAAAAAACAGACAGAGAGAGGGTTACTCTCTTTTTTGGGAGTATAAGGAGCAAATTTTGCCAATTGTAAAGGATATCTCCTCCCATGATACTAAAAACAATGAACAAACATTTTTTAATCAAATCTTACATACACATGATTTGAAGTTCTAATTATTTGCTTAAGCAACAAAAAACTCTACCACTCATACCAATAATTGGCATGCCAATAAAATAATTATTCTTATGAAAATATATATTATTTTTTATACTTAATTTCAATTTAAGTTAATATATACAATGAGTAAAATGTGAAAAGAAAAACTTACAAATACAAAATTATTTATATTTTGGATATTAGGGGAAAAAAAACAACGTCCTATACCGTAGACGGTGTCTCCTGCCTCTTACAAACTAGAAGATCAGATAGCCTCTCCCCAGTGAATCACTATCAAGACATTTATTTAATGCTATGACATATATTGCGTTAGATGTTTAATACTTTAATTTAATTACCCTCAGGCTCCAGCTTCGCTCTCTCAACACAGTACAACTAGTACAAAATACCATGACACAACAAAATGTGAAGTTAAGTTAATGAAATCTGAAAATTGTAAGGCTCTTGTGTATTAATGCTCTGATTAAATCTTCTTGTTCTTCACTGTGACACCTAGTTCACCTGCTACGATCACCGTTGTTGCCATGTCCAGAAACATTCCATGCTCTGCAACTCCAGCAAGTCGCAGGATTGCGTCACTTGCAGCCTTCAAATCTCCAATACTTCTCTTGAAATACAAATCCACGATGTAATTCCCATTATCAGTCACGAAGGGTTTTTCGTTTTCCCCAGAAGTTCTCAGCTTTGCCTCACAACCTGAATCCTCAAACATTTTTTGAAGCCTCGAAGCAGTGAATTTCCAGCAAAATGGTACGATTTCCACTGGCACGGCCAATCCACTACCTCCCAGATACTTCACTTGTTTGGTCTCGTCGACGATGACGATGAATTTCTTACAAGCTCCCTCTATCATTTTCTCTCTCAGAAGCGACCCGCCTCGGCCTTTTACTAGATTCAAATCCGGGTCGACTTCGTCGGCGCCGTCGATGGCGAGGTCGACGATGGGGTGAGAGTCGAGATCTGATAGTGGGATTCCGACAGACACGGCTTGCTCCTGAGTCATCTTCGATGTAGGTATTCCTATGATGTTCTCGAGCTTGCCCTGTTTTAGAAGCTCGCCGATTCGGGCCACCGCGTGCTTCGCTGTTGAGCCGGTTCCGAGACCCAGGACCATGCCGGACTCGACGTACTCGACGGCCTTGTAGGCGGCGATTTTCTTGAGCTCATCTTGGGTTAGAATCACAGGGGACGACGACGAAGACGGCGTAGGCGAAGAAGGAACCACAAGAGCTGTGTCAATGGCTGCCATTTGCGAACCTTGAATGATAAAACTTTCGAAGGCTAAAACACTAAAATGAGTCAGTCAATCTCAGGTAAGAATCAAATCAGGACAGAAACTTTAACGGGGAAGAAACAAAATCAGAGGAAAATGAAAGAAACCGAGTAAGATATCAGGGAAAAATCCTGGGAAGATTCGAATAAAGACCGAGACTTCCACCAGAAACTGAGAATTTGGGTAATGCGGTTTAAGAGAAACAAAGAAACGAAAGGAACCCAAAAGAAAGAGACGAGAAAGAGAGAGAGAGAGAGAGAGAGAGATGAGGAAGAGTGACAGTTTAACCAAACAGAATGTGTGGTGGTGAGATGACGAAGAACGAGAAGTACGTGATAGAGTGATAAGATGAGATTGGGTTGGATGGAGCGTGGAGGCGGAAGAAGCAGAGGAGGGTTTATAAAGAGAAGAAAAGAGAAGAGGGAAGAGAAAATGAACGAAAGTTGGAAGATTTTGCATTGAAAGAGATTTGGGTTGGCACATTTTGCACGGTGGACAGTAGAGATTCGACGAAGGAACATAACCCTGCAACTTCGAAGTTTTATACGCCCTTGGAAAGCGATAATTTATCTATTTCTTTTCTATTTTCTTTTGATCTGACAATTTATCTATTCAATTGGGTGGTTTGCTTTTGCAATTCATCGTACATCATCAGTGACGGACCAGAAAATTTAGTTAGTGGGGTTAAATTTTAACCAAATATAAGTATTATCATTTTATAAAAAATAATTATAAATATTTATTAATTAATAAAAAAATAACAATTACTAAAATTAATATAAAGAACTAGTATATTTTTATAATCATATAATAAATGGGTTCAAACATTCTTTTTTTTTTTTGGTTAGGGGCAAAATGAAATTTTTTTAGAGGGTACCAGTGAACTTTTAAAGGAGTTATCTGTAATTTTCTTTAAATAAATGAAAAATTTATATAATATTTATTTTTAGGTAAAAATCCGGGTTAACTCTGCCAGTTAAACTAGTAAAATTGTTAAAATAATTTAATAAAATATTTTGTTTACTATTGGTTTGATTATGATTTTAATCATTAATCATTGAATTATTGTCTTAACTAATTCTGATCAAATTTCTTGATAAACATGAGTTTTAAAAATACTAAGATTTAGACATAATGTAATTTTTAATTTTAGTTTATTTCAATTATTGGTTTAATTCCTGAAATTTGATTATTTAGTAAAATTCAATTCTTGTAATTTATTGAGTTAAGTAATTATAAGGATTAAATTGTATTGAGTAGGAAAAAAAAAACTATAAGGATTAGATTGTTTACAATAAAAAAAACTGTAAAATATAAATTGTTGCAAGCTAAAGTTTAAGGAGTAAATTGATAATTAGAAAAAGTTCAAGAATAAAAGATTATATGTTTTTTTTAAATTATGATATGTAAAAATTAAATGTCAGAGATTTAGGATTTGGGGTTTACAATAATGGAAGAAAAATTCAGATACAAAAAATTACATATTTGACTTGCACTCAAAATTAAAAATAAAAATGAAAAAGAATTGTTGGCCCATTTCATTTGTTTTTATCCTATAGTATTTCTTTTGTCTCTTAGTATAAATTCCAAGTTTTTCAACTTTCTTTTTATTCCTGAATATAAATCCCAATAGGGCTTTGAATGGAAATGGGTGAGATTGGAATGATCTTGTCCCGTGTTTCATGGTTAAAAAGTCATGGAATTTTCATATTGTGTCCCATCCCATTTCCCATCTCAATCTCAAAATTATAAAGAGTAGAAGAAGAGAAGGACGGAGAATTAAAAACTATAAGCAGCAAATTATATTATTAGTTATTCATCTCTTCAAATTTTGAATAATCAAACACGTTTTTAATACTGCTTTATTGGCAAAATCAGCTTGGAGACTGTTGAATTGTGAAAATGATCTCTGAACTAATGTTTTAAAAGGCTTATATTTTCCTAATTCATCTTTTTTAGAAGCAAAAAAAGGTCCTCTTGTCTCTTAGAGTTGGTCGAGTTCTACTTGTTGGAAGAGATTTATTGGCTGAAAAAGCTTTGGTGGACAATTGGGAATGGTTAAAAGATGCAAAGCTTGGAGAGATAAGTGGGTATGAGGTTTGGATAATGAAAAGCTACAGGTTAATTTTTCTAATGAAGATGAAATGAATAGACTTGTAGCAGATTTAATGGATGGTAATGGATTTGATTAATGAAGTGGAAAGAGACAAAATTTTGAGCATGCATTTTCCTTGTCTAGTTGTGAGGATAGAATTGTTTGGGATGATGCTACTAAAAATGGCATATATACTCTAAAGATGGGTTATAAATATGCAAGGGAAAAAAGATTGTGGTTTGTAAAAGATATCCCTCCCCGAGTATAATTAATAATGATATTTAGCATAAGATTTGGCAGCTTAATTGTATGCCTAAGATTAAGCATTTCCTTGATAATTAATGACAGGTGCTTTACCTACTTGTAATGCTTTATGGAAAGAAAATGCTTGAATGACTCTTTGTACAATTTGTGGTGATGACGAGGAGGAAACTAGGAAACATATGATTTTGTTATGTCATTAGGCTAAAACTGTTTAGTTTGATAGTCATCTTAAATGGAAAATTAAAAGATCCTTGATAAGTAACATTGAAGATTGGGTTTCTACTTGGCTTATGAATAGCTTTTACTTGCTGGTATATTGAAAACTTTGATGTAAATTTGTGTTTGAAGGTAAAAATGTTGATCATATTGAGGTGAATATTTTGGTTAACAAACTTCTATGTGAAATTAATAATGTGCAGATTTTTAAATTTGTGAGAAAGGTTGAAGTAAATAAGAAAGTAAAGTTTTCTTAGTGTTTTTCTTGATAAAGGTAGGATTAAATTGAATTATAATGAGGCTTTTGATGAAGATAAAAGGTTTTGTGGTGGTATTGGGATTGTTAGAAGAGATGATTTGGGTAATTTTGTGACAGTATAAGTGTAAAAGTAGTAGGTTCTTCAGCTTTGATGATTGAAGCTTTAACTTTAAAAGGGCTCTATTACTTACTAAAGAATTAGGAATTGTGAGTATATGTGTTGAAGGGAATTGTGAGGTCTTATATAAGGTTGTTACTGATGATATGGTTGTACTTGTGATTGAAAAAATACTGGTATTATCAATAATATTTGTTGCTTTATGGCTTTCTGTGAAGAATTGTTGTTTGTCTTAGTTTGTAGGGATGGGAATAACGCTGCGGAATTTCTTGTAGTGGATGCTAAAAAGGGAGATATGAACCCAATTGGTTTGGTATTGTCACCTCCATCTACCTTGTCTTGGATTATGCTTCTTGACAAGGTTAAAGCATTGAATATTGATTATACTAGTAGGAATGTATCTTTTGTAAAGAAAGGCATTGGTTGATAACTTTTATTGTGTTTTGTATTTCTATTGGTTTTTGTTGTTGGTTTTTATTTTTGTTAAACTAGTTATTGTATTTTTTTTATTTTTTTTATGTGCTTTGGTGTGTCAGGTTATATGTATAGGTTTTTTTTGAGTTTTTTTTTTTTGGCTTCAGCTATTAGAGGTTTGTAATTATCTTTTTTTTGTGATCAATAAAATTGATTCTTTTTGTGGCAAAAAAAACAAATTTTTTTAACAATAAATGATTTTTTTAAAAAA